TGGTCTTGGCTCGTAGCTGCCTCGCCAGTCAATGCCAATGGATGCAACGCAGTGCACAGCAATACCACGCATTGCCGAGCAACGCCACGCAATGCCAAGCACCGCGTGGCATGCAAAAGCAATCTGCCTAGCAATATGCCAAGCAATGCCAAGCAATCTGCTCAGTGATATGCCCAGCAATGCGCCCATGCAGCAGATTTCCCCTCATTTGGGTTGCGCCAGGTTTTCTGTTGGTCGGTTATGACTTTTGTTTGGCCTCCAAGAGCGTCCTTGTCGACATGGCTGCATTCCCTCGATGTTCTGACTACGACGCACAACTGGACGACGAACGACGGCGACCCTTTTGTTTTCACACTTTCAACTCCTGGGAGCCCGTCTCTTGGGCCGTCAACCTGGCATCGCTCGGACGTGTGCATTCTTTTCTCGGCGAGGACCCTGGCGGAGCATCCTGGATCATCGAGCAAACAAAAACACGCACGAAACCGAACAATGCACAGGGAATTGACGTCCGAGCGATGGCAAGTCAAAGCTTCCTCTGGGATGAAGAACTGGTCAAGATGGTCCCTGGGAGGAGTCAGGGGACCCAGTGAGCTGATTCTGACGACGACGACGACGACGACTTCGAGGCGAACACTGTGGACGTCTTTCTCCGTTTCTTTGCCTGGGAGCCCTCGCCGGCCCCAGGGCCGTCAAGAAGCGACTCGGGACGAAACGACGGCCCTGGGGAGAGGGTCGAGACTGCCGGGGGCCCCAGCGGCACCGGCGGGCGGGAGGGATATTTATCTTCTCCATAGTCCCTTCAAGGCATTATCGGCGTTGGCTGCGTCTCATCTCGGCTCGAGATGGGTGATCCAGAATTGCATTGGTATTTATGTTTGCGTGCCTACAGGATGCAAGGAGTGCATCGTAATGCGTAGGTTTACGCAGATTTGTCGAAGACGCCTTCGGCGAGTCATCGCCGCCCCTTCCCTTTTGGAAACGCCCATGTGGCCACAAGGTTGATGAACATCTGGCCAAGCTCTTGCAGATGTTTTTCCTGCGCGCCCAGAATTGGAACGGAACATGTCGACACGATGCCCAACATCAGTGCCTGTTCATCGGAGGTTTGGGGGTGAGATCGCAGTGAAACGGAGACCCCCCACGGGGAAATCGGTTTCGTGTTCGTGTCGTGCGTGCGGGCGAGGCGAAGCTGCGCTTGATCCTCCTGTAGCTAGGCCGAAGTAGGAGCGAAAGTCCGTTCCCGTCCGCCGGTGGCTGGGAGGTGTCCCAGTTGGGCCGGGCGGTGTCCCGAGTGTCCCCGGTGCCAGTAGGAGCGAAAGTCCGTTTCCCGTCCGCCGGTGGCCGGGAGGTGTCCCAGTTGGGCCGGGCGGTGTCCCGGGTGTCCCGGGTGTCCCGGGCGTCCTGGCGCTATTGCAGGTCGTTGATTTCATAATCCATTTTTTTCGGCGCCTGCGGCGGGATTTCTTATCCAATCCAGCTTACATAATCCAATCCATCTTGCGCAATCCACTTCATCTTATCTTATCCAACCCGTATTGTCCCATCTTATCTTATCCCACCCAATCCAACCCACCGAACCCAATCCATCAATTCATTTGTTTCTGCGCCTGCGGCTAACCCATTCCGTGTTAATTATCTTATCCAATCCAGTTCTTCCTATCGAACCCATCTTACCTGATCCAATCCATCTTATCCCATCCAATTTAATCCACCCAACCCAATCCATCAATTCATGTTTGTCGGCGCCTGCGGCGGGCTTTCTTATCCAATGTCATCGTCATCGCGATCATCATCGTGGTGGAGGGGGATTCTGATAGAGAGGGAGAGAGACAGGGCGAGAGAGACAGAGAGAGAGAGAGAGATAGAGACAGAGAGAGAGAGAGAGATGAGATCAAGGTGATAGACTGGAGGTCAGTAAGGGTGGGCATTTGATCTCAATCCCCCCCCAAACCTCCTTATCGCCCGCAGGGTGGTCGTATAGGTATGGAAAAAGATGTGCTGCCCTTCGGGTCCCCTCGGATAACCAACTTCGTCCTATTGGCACAACGTCGTGTTCACGTGATAGCTTTGTTCAGGTTCGACTGGAAGAGACCTGCTGTGACAATCTCCATTCTGGGCGTGCCAAGTTCTGAGAACCGTCAGAGGAACACCTGGGCTAAGGATGGCCCTGGCCAGTCCATGGTGCTGTTGTGCAGGTACCTCATGTGAGGATCCTCAGAGATCTATGGATGCTCAGAGACCCTACATGTGTCTTCTGCGTTTTCGATTCGTTTGTTCAAAGCACACATCTTGGGTATCACCACTTCGGGGGCATGCCCACGCATGGTGATGATGATGCTGCTGATGAAGATGATAATGATCATGCTGATGACGATGCTGCTGATGATGATGCTGATAAGGATGATGATGATGTTGAGGATGAGGATAATGATGATGGCGATGATGGTGATGATGGTGGTGGTGGTGATGATGCTGGTGATGGTGTGGATGAGTATGAGGATGATGATGAGCATGATGGTGATGGTGATGATGATGATGCTGATGATGATGATGATGCGAATACTAATACGAATGATGATGATGATGATGATGATGATGATGATGGTGCTGATGATGATGCTGATGATGATGCTGATGATGCTGAAGAAGATGATGATGATGATGATGATGGTGCTGATTATGCTGATGATGGTGGTGGTGATGATGCTGATGATGATGATGAGGAGGAGGAGGAGCAGGAGGATTATGATGATGATGATGATGATGATGATGATGATGATGATGATGATGATGATGATGATGATGATGATGATGATGATGATGATGATGATGATGATGGGAAGATTCGGTGGAGGAGGAATCGACATGAACAGTTGGAGGCGTAGCAGCAGGAGGAGGTGCAGGAGGGAGATCAGGTGGAGAGGACGAGGAGGCGTAGGAGGAGGAGGAGGAGGAGGAGGAGGAGGAGGAGGAGGACGGGAAGCATCAGGTGGTCCGTCCTCCTCCGGCTCTCTCTATGTTTTCTCTCTCTCTCTCTCTCTCTTTGTTTAGTTTCAAGATGTGCAAGCGAGGCTCAAACGAACCGCCCACGGTCTGGCCTCTGGGCGCACCGCCCGTCCTGGCCTACGGGGGGACGACTGGTGGAGTTATCCACAAGGAAGAGGGATGGCGGAGGAGGAAGTACTCGAGGTGGGGGGCATCAGGATCGATCAGGCGCCATGGGCAGGATTGTCTCTCACACATCCCTGCTGCCTTGCAAGATCGGTGGAGGATCCTCCTTCCTTCCCCCCCTCCCCCCTCTTGCAGGAAGTCCTCCATCAGAAGCTGGAGAAGGCCACCTACAACATGGAGGCCTGCGCCTCCGTCGTCATCCTCCTCGTCGTCCTCGTCTTCGCCCATGCTCTCGTCGTTTTCGTCGTCCTCGTCCTCGTCCCCGTCGTCGTCTTCCTGAGGTTTTCGGGGGGTGTTCAAAGGATGTCGCAGGCTTCCTTCTGCTTTTGGTCCTCGAGTGGGGATGAGGCGGAGGGAGCGGAGACGGCGGAAGGGGGAGAGGAGCGGGAGGAGGAGGGAGGGAGGTATGGGAACATGAGGACGGGGATGGGTGACAGAGGAGGGGAGTGGGGAGGAGCATGGAAATGGGGGAGGGGGGGGCGGGAGGAGGAAAAGGAGGAAGAGGAGGAGGAGAAGGAAGAGGAGGAGGAGGAGGAGGAGGAAGAGGAGGAGGAGGTGGAGGAGGAGGAGGTGGAGGACGAGGAGGAGGACGACGAGGAGGAGGAGGAGGAGGAGAAGGAGGAGGAGGAGAGGACGAGGAGGGAAAGGAGGAGGAGGAGGAGGAGGAGGAGGAGGAGGAGGAGGAGGAGGACGAGGAGGAGGAGATTTGGAGTGAGGAGGAGGAGAGGAGGAGGAGGAGGAGGAGGAGGAGGAGGAGGAGGAGGAGGAGGAGGAGGCGGAGGGAGGGGAGGAGGGAGGAGGAGGAGGCGGAGGAGGAGGAGGAGGAGGAGGAGGAGGAGGAGGAGGAGGAGGAGGAGGAGAGGGGAGGAGGAGGAGGAGGAGGAGGAGGAGGAGGAGGAGGAAGGGGGGAGGGGGGATGAGGGAGGTGGGGATGGGCAGGGGGTGGAGGACATGTGCAGGATGCCCCTGCTCCTGCTGCTTGTGCTCCGCGAGAACAGCTGGGTACGCAGGCAGAGGCTTCGGCTCCCTGCCCTTCCTCCTCTGCGCTTCCTTCCCCTCCTGCACGCTTCCTGCATGTAGCCCCGCTCGAGTGTGGATGCCATCTTCCATGCTCCTTCCCCTCGGCCTGGTGCTTCCAGGGACTCACCTGCACCTTCACCAATCGCTCGCTCACTCGTTCCCTTCCCCTCCTGCCCCTGCCCGCAGAACGGAGCGGGGGCTGGGGAGGGGGGGGGGGGGGCACTGGCAGGGAGGGGGGGGGGGGGGACGGGGCTTCCGAGAGGGCGACGGGTGGCCGGGGCATGGGGCAGGGGGCAGGGAGGAGTGGGGGTTGAGGGGGGGGAGCGGCTCCCGAGAGGGCGCATCGCCTCCCGGCGGCCCCTCCGCGGCCTCGGCCCAGGCCCAGCCAGAAAGCCTCTCTGCGAGGAGGGCGCGCAGGATGTGGGCGGGGGGACACGAGGGGGGGGGGGGGGGAAAGGGGCTCTCGGGGCTCTCGAAGGATTCAGTGGAGGCCCAAGCCAAGAGACACCCTGTTTTTTCCCCCAAGGTTTCTCGGTTTCGATGGCTCCGCTGGGAAAAAAGCGTGGCGTTCCCACACCCAAGAAGTCTATGGCCAGGTCCACGGCTGCCGGCACGCAGGGCCTGGGCGCCCCTGCCGCTGCAGGAGCCGCCCCGCCGAGCCCCCCACGGCCCGGCGCTGGAGCGGAGCCCGGCGCAGCGGCGCGGGACGCCAGGAATCAGGAGGGGCAAAAACACACACACAGACACGATGAATCGTCGATTCCCAGGAAACTACAGGAAAATATGGGAAGTGTGGGGGGGGGACAGGGACCCAGAAAAGACGGAAAGTGGGGGGGGAAGACGGAAAGTGGGGGGGACGCCAGGAAGCCGCCCGATGGCATCGGGCCGGACGAAAGGGGGGGGGGATTGGGAAAGGGGGGGGTACGAAATTTGCTGCATGCAGCTGGTTTCGGCCCCGCCGAGGTGCCCATTCCTCGATACATGACCGCCTCCCGGCGCCAGGAGGCGCCGGGAAAATCAGCTACGTGAGCTGATTCTCAAACCCCCCCTGTGCTATCCTCCCCTTGCGCCCGACCCGATAGCAGCAGGAACGCGAGGGAATCCAGCACAGCGACGAGCAGCACGGGACCCCAGAGCACCTCCCGACGGCGGCCAACATTCCGAGGAGATATTCGCCCACCGCGATGAGGGAAGCGAGGCAGCAAGGGCCCGACGGCTCGAGCATGTCGAGGGAGAACCCGCCCGTGGCGACTGACCAAGCGCAGCAGGTAGGGAGACCGATGCCTCCCTACCTTCACCGCTCCCTTTCGCGTGCCTCCGACCCCTTAGCCCGCAGAGGAGCTCCAGGCCTGCGCGACCTTCTTCCAGTCGGGCCCGAAGCGGCGGCGGGCGATCCGCTCCAACTGGATGTTGGTGAGCACGTCGAAGTCGTCAATAAAATTAGCCACCTTGGCGTTGCCTTTGGCACTTGGCTTCTTTGCGCCAGGAGCCGTGCCTTTGCCAATGTGTTTGTTATCCAAGTGGTTCTCTGCTTCAGCGTCGGACGCGATGTCTATCATCGCCTCTCCGCCGAAGTCCTTGCCAGAGTCGTTGCTGCCCTGCTCGCAACAGCTTGCGAGACAGCCGTCGCCGTCGGAGTCGACCACCTGCTCCACCGGTTGCGTTTCGGTGCCAGTGCGATCTCTTCCCCCTCCTGGTGCTGGTATCGGTATGTGGCCAGCTCCTTTTGCTGAAGTTGTTGTTGGAGTATGGTATCCGCTGGAGCCCATCCCTTGCACTTGTAGCAGCGCTCGCGGCACCCGAAGTTTACCAGCAGGCACCACTCGCACTCCCACTCCTTCACGTAATGGGTGACCTGGCCAAGATCTCTTTGCCTGGCCTCCACGGCACACTCCTCTCGCTCTGCTCGTCGGAGGAGGCTGCCGCCAGCAGGTGCAGGCCCTGTGACGAGGGCCTCTTTGGTGCTTTTGACATTTTCTTGGCCGAGGCTTGCAACTTGGGAACACCCGGACCGGACAGTTGGCGTTTATTACACAGGCCTGGGCGTTTACTAAACAGCCCTGCCCTGTTTGATTCCTCCTATGGGTGCGTTTACTAAGCGGCCTCGCATGTCGGGTGGTTCTTATCGGGGTGGATGTTCTGCCCTCTATTCCTGGTCGTTCGTGTCCGAATTTGTCCTCCTCTGAGCTGTCCTTCTGCGTTGGGCTGCCCAAGAGCGCGACACTCGCTGCGATTCGGCTTCCATCGCTGGCCAGGCCGCCGTCCACTCGACGTCCATATCGAACATCGCCCTCACCTTGTTGAGCCCGTCCTCCTCCAACTTCTGCTGCCGCGAGAGGTCTGGAAGCATCTCGCTCTTCTCCAGGCCTGGCCCCAGCTGCTCCTTGCCGAAGCGCCTGTCCGAGCTGCCGCCTCCACTTGGAGCACTCTTGGCCGAGAAGCTCGGCAGAGGGGCCCCAGTCTCTGTGTACAGCGTGTCCTGCTGACCATGCGGCCCCGAAAAAGCATCGTTGAAGAGCGGATCACACACGCTCCAAGGTTCTCGATGAAGGGCGTCAGGCAGTGGCCCAGCTCCCCGGCTGCAGCCGAGGGCGGGACGCACACCTCTTCCATCAGCTGCTCGGGCCGCAATTGCCCGCGCCGATGCGCCTGGCTCGCGGGCGCTGCGCCCCCTCCACGCGCGCGCCCCGCCAGGCCCTCGCTGGGGCCAGGGGGGGGCTGGCTGGGGGGCGAGGGGAGGGGGGGAGGCAAGCTGGGTGCGCTATAGCGTCACCTCTGACCTCCTTACCTCCTCACCCCCTCCTCCAATCCCTTGCCATGGCGCAGATCCCCCCGATCGATGCGCACCGTCGGAAATGGACCGGCGCCGCAGCGGGAGAGCGATGCAGAAGGGCTGGGGCGCGGGAGCGAGGCCAGGTCCAGAAACGGGAGTAGGGCCACCGCTGCAGCGGGAGCACGACTCGTAAGGACCGCAGCACTCCAACGATGCCAGCGCTACACCTTAGGCGATGCTTAAGAAAACTTAAGTTTTCGGCCAGAGTCTCGATTATTCTTAATGTTCCAATGTAAATCTTAAGATTTTAATAGAACTGTTGGGTTGTTATTCAAGTTCTGAGACTATGAATTTCTGAACCCATGATTTCTTAAGCATTTCGCAGGGTGTACAGCGACAGCGCTGCTCGGAAGGACCGAATACGCCAGTGCTGCTGCTGGATCAGGGTTTGGGACGACCGGAGGCGCAGGAACGAGGCCAGCGCTGCAGCCGGAGCACGATCTCGAATGACCGAAGCGCGGAAACGAGGGCGGCGCTGCAGAGGGAGTACCATTTTAGAAGAACTGAAACGACCGCATTGAAAAAGCACATCTGGAAAAAAAGCAAATAATAAAACCTGGTGTGCAGAAAAACAATACGTGGAGAGGATTGGGCACTCTCCAGACAGAGTCAGGGGAGACAGGAGAGTACTATTGTCATTTTGCGTAACTGTGGAACTGGGGAGGGGGGGGGAGGGCAAGGGGGGCAGGTGAGGGGGGTAGGGCGAGGGGGGGAGGGCACGGGCGGGGGGCAAGGGGGGAAGGGGGCGCGAGAGGAGCGGGCCTATCCGAGATGGCGCCTCGCTTGCTGGCAGCCCCTCTGCCCTCACAGGAGCCCTGCCGGAAGCCTCGCGCGGAGGCGCAGGCTTCAGTCGGACACGTCCCTCTACAGGAGGAAGATTCAAAGATAGCAAACATATACTCTGGGGACGATTTTGTGAGCATGAATTTTGCATATTTGCATCTGTTTGGCTATCTTTTATTTTTCCTCCAAAAGCCGCCTGTTAGGAGGACATGGCCGACCTAAGCGCAGGTGCTTCACTCCGCTGGACCCACCAGCAGCCCTCGAAAGTGGCGACAGTTTCGCAGATCGCAGCCCCCCAGCGACGGCGAAGAGAGGGCAGGAGGAGGGAGGAGGCGGGAGGAGGAAGAGGAGACGCGACCGCGGTGCTCGACTTGAAACGAACTCCCAACCCAGGAGGCAGTTCCTCCAAACGCCGCCTGCTAGGAGGACGTGCCCAACCGAAGCGCAGGGCCTCCCAGAGATCGGGGATGGACAGACCTCCCTTTAGTAAAACGTGGTTTAGTGAAAACGACCTGAGGCCCAAACCTGGCGGGCGCAAGCCAGAACAAATAACGGCCGCGGCGCCCTCTCGAGAACCGAAAACGGACGATTCACTAATCGACGTGTCACTGTTGGGGGTTCTGTCCACCCCCGAAGAGAGGGGCCCCCGTCTGACCCCTGGGCGCGCCGTCCCCCGCGCCCCGGCCCCTGGTGGCGCGCCGCCCGATGCTGGGGGTGAGCTCCGCGCCGCGCCGCCGCCCCGATCTTGCCGGCCCCTCTGCTGCTGCTGCTGCTGCTGCTGCTGCTCCTCCTCCTCCTCCTCGTACTCCTCCTCCTCGTACTCCTCCTCCTCCTCCTCCTCCACACTCCTCCTCCTCCTCCCTGCCTCCTCCTCCTCCTCCCCTCTCCTCTCCTCCACCTCCTCCTCCTCCTCCTCCTCCTCCCTCCTCCTCCTCCCCCTCCTCCTCCTCCTCCTCCTCCTCCTCCTTTGGAATCCACTGCCCCTCTGGTCTGAGGCAGTTGTATAGGAGGGGGAACAGAGGACAGAGTGTTTACACAGTTTGGAGGAATTTGTGAATTCAGTATGGGTCGGGCTTGAAGCGCCTCGAAGAAAGCGCGCGCACCCGAATCGCAAGCATATGGCTAAATGTGGACCCAGGACAGTTTGCTTCCCGTCGTCGTCCTCGCCCTTGCTCCGTTCTCCTTCCTTTTCTTCCTTCCCCTGGATGGTGTCGAAAGCGTCCGCGGCTCGGGCGGGGGAGCGCCCCTTCCCACCTCCCTCATTATTCCTCGTTCCTCTTTGCTTCCCTGCTCCACCGTCCGTCATCTTACCTCGTCTTCCATCCATGTTCGAAAAGTGGATGCCCTGGTGCCGCGTGCCCGCATCAGCGGTATATCGCCTTTTCGATATCCGAGCACAGCGGAGCAACCAAGCAGAGGCGATTGACAACGCGAGCGTTCGTGGCGCATTCAAAACGCGGGCGGCACGGTCGCCGAGCACAGTCGCATCGATAACCTGTAAATTATAAGTGCCTGCGACAGGGTCCGCCCCTTTACCAGAGCAGCGGTCTGTATGGCGACGCGTGGGGCTTTGACTGTTAAGAGGTCCATGGCATGTGACACCTCTCGTGTTTTCGGACTGCTGCGCGGCATTCTTTGGGGTCGTTCGAGGCTTTTTCGGGGCGTCATCTGGCCGTTGGGGGCCGCTTTGGTGCCGCGTTTCACCGCGGCCGCCCTCGGCCAAGGAAGCGTGTATTTGCAGCCCCCTTCGGGGGCGCCATGGGCCGGGGAAGTGTGTATTGGCATCCCCCCGTAGCTGGGCATGGCGACATCGGTTCTGGGTTGGCAAAGTCGGGGCACCCTCGAGGTGGCGAGCGTTCACCCTTCCGAAATACACAGATCAAGGTGTGATCTGTGTACACAGCTTGTGTCTTCACCAGTGTATTTTCGTGTGTGGGCCCACTGTTTACACAGATCGTGGTGCGATCTGTGTACGCAGATCTCGTTCCCATCTGTGTATTTGGAGTGTGCGCATCGCGGGTGGTGTTGACTGGGCGGGAACTTTCACGTTTCTCTGTCGGCTGGTCCAGGGGGGGCATCGCGCGCGGTCGACATACACAGTTCGTGTCTCCAACTGTGCATCTGTCGCGCGCCGCTCGGTGAAGTGATCACTGGGCGGGAGTTTCCGCGGGTCTCCCAGCTGGTCCAGGAGGGGGCAGTGGTCTGGGCATGCAAAGGCGCGGGGGGGTGGGGATGGTGGGCTGTGGGAAAGAAAGGGCTCGATAGGAGGGGTGGCCAAGGGGCCAGGGATGAACCGGAATGGACGAGAGGGGAGGAAACGGGCCCAGGAAGAATTGCATCATCGGTGTCAGCATCACGAGGACGAGGGAGGCGGGCGGGGCACAAGGAGAGGGCACGATGTGCACTAGGGCGTAGAGAATGGGAGGAGGGCAGGCGTGTGGACGATGGGGGAACTAATCCGGCGGAGGAAGACGACGAGGAGCGACATGAATTGGCACATGGGGGGTGACAGTGTGGACGAGGGACATGGTGGTGAGGACCGGGGGTGATCGGATGGGCATGAGGGGAATGGGGCCAAAGCGAAGCGATATTTGGAGGCGGCGGGGGGTGGGCCATGAGTTCGAGGCGGGCGCCAGCTAACGATTAGCTGAACAGTGTTCTGCGTGTCCGTGCCCCCCCCCAGAACACAGTGACCGGTTGCATAACTTCATGATCTGGGTAATCGTGCGATTCGTGCTCCCAGGCCAAAGGTTCGAGTCCACGACACCCCTTGGCGTCGCGTTGATGTTGCCCCGATTTGCCAGACCGCATATGCACAGATAGGCATAATTTGTGTTTGAACGTTTGTTTCATGACCCTCTCTATAGTAACAGACGCACGCTGGAAACCACCTCCTCCTCCGCCTCCTCCTCCTCCTCCCTTCTCCTCCTCCTCCTCCTCCTCCATCCCTCCTCCTCGTCCTCCTCCTCCTCCTCCTCCTCCTCCTCCTCCTCCTCCTCCTCCATCCTCCTCCTCCTCCTCCTCCTCCTCCTCCTCCTCCTCCTCCTCCTCCTCCTCCTCCTCCTCCTCCCCCTCCGCGAGACGGCGGGGAGGGGAGACGACCCAGCTGCTGACGCAGCAGGTGGCCTCCGACATCAAGGACCGGCTGAAGGAGCGCCACCGCCTCTTGCCTCTGGGCGTCGTCCGTGCCGGCCCCCCCCCCGCCCGCCCGCCCCCTCTTATCCCCGAGACCTCCCCCAGCGAGTCGGAGGCATCGCGCCTCCCCCTCTTCCTGCCTCTGCGGCCGACCTCCTTTCCTCCCCTTCCCCCTGCTTCTGCACACGTGGCAACTCGCAGCGCCGCGGCCCGGGCTGCTCGGCCGCGCGAGGGGATCGCTTCTGCCGCGCCGCGACGGAGAAGCACGTCGGCGCCCCGGGCTCCCAGTGGCCGCCTCCGGGCCCCGGGCAGCAGCGAGCAGCAGAGATCCAGCAGTGCAGAGCCAGCAGGCTGTGGAAGCAGGGGTCGCGGGTCTCGTAGAGGGGCGGTCCCAGGCCTTCCTCGAGGGCTAACAAGTAGCGCCAGGACCGCGACAGCTGAAATCCACTGAACAGCCCACGCCTCGCAGCCTGTTGGCCCCCAAAGAGGCCCGCGAATCTTGTATACATCGGGCACCCCAGTTTTTCAGTCTAGTGTCGCATGCGCGGGTCTTGTCAATGGGGTGGACCCTCAGCCGGCAGTTTTGCCACGCAGCTTGCGTTCCGCTGGCATCCAGGTTGATCCCTTGAGTGGCTTGGACACCAAGCCCAAGGGTGCTGCTTGGAAGCCCCAAGGGGATCGACTACAGAATCGAAGTACCCCCATATTGATTCCCCGTCGAATCCTTGAAAGATGCAAAGTTGTTACTGACAGCACCACGCCTCTTGCCCATGGGCTCGACGAAAACATCAAGGGTGGGACACGTGTGTCAATTTTGTAGTCGATCCCCCACTTGGAACGCTGAATGGGATGACCCGGCAGGGCCGCGGATCGCCACCCGGGCGCGCGGGCCTCTTCCCCCCCCCCCCCCCACCACTTCACCGCCCCGCTCCCGTGCCAGGAGGAGGAGGAGGAGGAGGAGGAGGAGGAGGAGGAGGAGGAGGAGGAGGAGGATGTTCGGCTACGGGCCAGGAGGAGGAGGAGGAGGCCAGACGTGCGCGGCGGCGTCCGAACTGCCAGGGCCCCCGGTGGTGCCGCCAGTGGCGGTCCGCGCGCAGCACGCGAGGGCTCTCGGTCCTCGTCCCCGGCGCGTGGTGCTGCTGGTCCGTGTGCGGAGGGTCGCAGACGGTGCGGCACGGATGGCATGGATCGGGGGAGCGTAAGACCTGGGTTTGCCGGGACTCGGGTTCGCCATCGTTTTTTGACGACCGCGACTCGGATTTTGACGAGGAGGAGTTTCGTGGGATGTCTGCAGCGGGAGGCCTCGTCAAAATGCAGGCTCGGCCTCGTCATTTTTTGACGACCTCGTCGGGGATTTCCGAGTCCCCTGTACCCAGGTCTTACGTCCCCCTGACAGTCGGGGCGCTGAAGAAGGAACCCTTTTCGTTGGGGAGGGGCTCGACATTCCTTGATTCTTCCACACCTTGTCTAAGGCTTCCCTTCTGTTTTCGAAGGGAAGTCAAAGTTCAACTTACGAAAAAAGGGGCCTCGTTCCTTATTCAGGGTTCCTTAGGTCAACGCCTCGACTGTAAGTCGGTGTGTCTACGACGAGTGCGTAGAATCGCTGTCATCCCCGTCCGACCTCGTCCCTGTCTGGGCCTCGTCTTTCTTTCACCCGAGACCAAAAAACAGTACCATCTCCACCAGCCAGGGGGGGGGGGGGCTGTCCCACCCTCTCGAGCTGGTGGCCCCTCGTTCAGGGCATGCCTCCGGAGAGTGCCCGGAAGGAGGTGTACCACCAGCTCGAGGGGAGGGAGCGGCCACCCCCCTAGCTTTCAGTCGGGCCTGTCCCTCTACAGGAGGAATATTCAAGAATAGTCAAAAAATAGTCTGGCGACGATGTCTCGACTATGTTTGAACATGTTTTGAGTGCTCCCAACTTTTCGCCCCAACTCCCCCTAAAACGACGCGAAGATCGGGACAACATCGGATCGGGATAACTCGAAATCTCTGAGAATCGGCGGGTTTGGAGGATGTATTGGGCGCCGCGGCCGCTCCAGAGCGTTCCGGAACGCTCTGAGAGCGCTCCGGAACGCTCTGGAGCGATTTATCCCGATCCTAGCCCTGTTTTAGGCCCCCTGTAGGGGGACAGGCCCGACCTAAGAGTTGTGGCTCCGCCCCGGGGGCCTTAACAACAACGAGCGTGTGCCGCACTCGAGGGGGCCCGCTGCGCGCATCCAGGGATGCAGCCCCCTGGGGTCGTTGGTGCGAGTTCATGGGCGCTCGGCCCCAGCCGCGGGGACAGCCCCTCCTCCTCCCCCTAACCCCCTCCTCCTCTTCCTCCTCCTCCCTCCTCCTCCCCTCCTCCCTCCCGCCTCCTCCTACTCCCCTCCTCCTCCTCCTCCTCCTCCTCCCCTCCTCCCTCCTCCTCCTCCTCCTCCTCCTCCTCCTTCCCTCCTCCTCCATCCTCCTCCTCCTCCTCCCCTCCTCCTCCCCCATCCTCCTCCCTCCTCCTCCTCCTCCTCCTCCTCCTCTCATACCTCCTCCTCCTCCACCTCCTCCTCCCTCCTCCTCCTCCTCCTCCTCCTCCTCCTCCTCCTCCTCCCCCTCCTCCCCCTCGGGGATCGAGTCGTCCAGTGCCGTTGGCTTGGCCCGCGGAGGCCGCCACCGCAGGTGGACGCGGTGTTGCGGGCACGCGCAGGCGGTGCGTGGCCGCGGTCGCAGCAGGGGGTGGGCATGCCCCCGCAGAGCCCGAGCCATTCGGCGCCCTGTCGCAACCAAACCCAATGCAAATGAAGGGTGCCCAGCATCAGACGACATCGTTGTGGTTTTCCGCCAGGGGGGTGTACGACTCGTTCGACTACTGATGTTTATGATGTCCCTTCCGCGCTTGCGTCTCAGATCCACGAGTCTCCGACTAGCTAGTCCATGCTGGCGCTTGCCCGACTGACACATTGGGCGGGGCGTGAGCCGTCGGCGAACAACATATCCGCACGTATCCACGTCCTCGCGGGTGGGGCCCCTGGGCCGCGACCCCGCGGACACGGGACGTTTTATCGCGATGCCCTGGCGCGGAACGTATCCCTACGACCGCGCATCCGCGGGATCGCGCCCCAGAATCCAGGCCGTGAGGGCACGGATACGCACATGTGTTCGTCGCACCTGACCAGCGGTCATCGGGGACAACAGATTCGGCGGCTCTCGGCTCGGCGCTCCCCCTGCTCTCGGCAGAGGACCTGACGCTGCCCCGCTACAAGATCGTGGTGCAGGTCGCCATCGGCGAGCAGCGCGGCCAGGGGGTGCGCATGGGCTCCAGGTGCGTCCGGTTGCGGGCCCGTCGTGGCCGTCGTGGCCGCTGTCGTCGTCGCGGGTCGTTGTCGACGTCTGTCGGAGGCCCTCGGAGGGCTTCCACAGGCCGCTGGAGGCTTCACGGGAGCCTCTAGAGGTTTCTGGCGGGCCTCTGCCGTCGTCACGTCGTCGTCCTTCGCCCAATTGTACGCCCTTAAACAGATCCTCCAATAACCTCGCATGACTGTCCAATGTCGGCCCGCCCGCTTGTAGACCAGAACCCTCCTCCGACTCCTCCCCTTCCTCCCTCCACAGGTAATTCTGTCATAGGTAGAGTTGTGATGCTTTCGTGCCTGCTCTCACTCAGGCATGTGTATCTCATCATCACCATCATCACCATCAGCATCAGAAGCAGACGCATCACCAAATCATCACCATCATGATCATCGTCATCATAGTCGTCGTCATCATCGCTATGTTCATCATCATTCACATGAGTATTATCATCAGCATCATCATCATCATCAGTATCAGCATCAGCATCAGCATCATCATCATCATCATTATCATCATCATCATCATCATCATCATCATCATCATCCCCATTTCCATCACCATCACCATCACCATCATCATTATATTATTATCATATTGATCAGCATGCTCCTCGTTGCCATCAGCCTACGCAGAACCATCATCACCACCGTGACCCTTCTCCTCCTCCTCATCATCATCATCATTATCATCATCATGATCATCATGATCATCATCACCATCATCAGCATTGTCAT